GTGGTTTGGTTGGTTGATTTTGCTTTTAAAGAAAACTTAGATAGATGTAAGGTTATATTCAATTTCATCGTTGGTGATGGTGGTTATGTGCCATGGAGTCGGTTCCGACTCATAGAGACCTTGAGCAGGGTTTCCAAGGCTGTAAATCTTTACGGGAGCAGAAAGACTCATCTTTCTCCCTCGGAACAGCTAGTAGTTTCAAACTGCTGATCTCCAGGTTTGCAGCCTGATTTGTAACCACTACGCTACCAGAGTTCCTTTAGTCCCCCTAAAGAACTTCTTGTCGCTCTAAAAGCACCATCATTATATTATATCGTGTGTCCTATTTCACAACATACATTGTAAGTTGCTTTGAAATTGTTTCCTGGTTTCAAGTTTGTGTTGTCTCTTTAGTTAGACTGCTAGCTATTCAAGAATAAGAATGTGTCTTTAACTCTTGTGTCCTCAAAGTGCTTGAGACATCTGTACCTAAGTGCTTGTTGTGTGATGCGACTGTTTTATTTTTATTCACAAACTAGAGCATTTTGCATTGTTCTTGTTTTTTTACCATGTGCCTTTCCAAGATGGCTAGGAACTCTGCATTTTCAAGATAAGATCCTACATATAAAAGGCTGAGTTAAAACACTGTTTCTTAGCACCTTTACATGGACTATAACCACTAGTAACAGAAGTGCACGATACTGTAAACTATCTGTGTGTCTTACGAACCTTTAAGGTGGTGCATGGACCAGTTGTTATCATTTCGGAGTAAAAATCAGATTTTCCAGGGCAAATTACTTTTGAGATAAGATGTCACATAATGTGTTCTGAGGAGCTACTGGTTTTAAACCAGGCCTGTTATACTTTGTAACAGGAAAAGCAATTGTTTCTTCTTCTGAATTGAAGCATGAAATAGATTTGGCTTAAGAAATTATAAGATATGACTAGGTTCAGGAGTTTTGAAAAGTCTACTAAGACGGAACATTTTAAAAATTGTCCTTCTGCTTTAGAAAAATTGACCAGTCCATCCCAGCTGAAAATATTTCCTGTCCATCTTCTCTTTTCAGGTTCTTATATGGCTTTTAAGGAGCTCTGGTATCGTAATGGTTACGAATCGGGCTGCTAACCTCAGGGTCGGCAGTTCAAAACTACCAGCTGTTCTATGGGAGAAAGATGAGGCTTTCTGCTCCCATAAAGATTTACAGCCTTGGAAACCCTGTACAGGGACACTATGAGTCGGAACCAACTCTACGGTACTTAATAACAACAACATATGGCTTTTGGACCTACTAGCTTAGATAGATGTTCCCTGGGTATTAAAGCAGTTTATTCTCTGACTCTAACTTAATGGTTGGTAGTTCAAACTCAGTCATCAGCACCACTGAAGAAAGGCTTATCTGTTTATATAAAGATTACAATTAATAAGATCCTATGGATCAGTTCTCTGGTAGTGTAGTGGTTTCGAATCGGGCTGTGAACCGCAAGGTCAGCAGCTCGAAACTACCAGCTGTTCTATGGGAGAAAGATGAGGCTTTCTGCTCCAATAAAGATTTACAGACTCAGAAACCGTGTACAGGGTCCCTATGAGTCGGAATCGACTCCACGGCACATAACAACAACAACAACATGGATCAGTTCTGCTCCTACTCCATAGCATATGTGGTTGCCATGTGTAAAAATCAACTAGATGGCAACAGGTACAGTTTCAAATCCTACACCCACTCCTATTATGTGTATTCTGACTCGTCGCAATCCTACAAGACAGAGTAGAACTGTCATATGGTTCCTAAGATTGTAAATCTTTACAGAAGTTTACGATTACAACTTTCTCCATGGAGCAGACTGGTGGGGTCTAATCACTGACTTTTAAACTAAGTGTTTAACCACTGTGCAGCCAGGGCTCCTTGGGCTTTGGGTTTTTAAAAAAACAAAACAAAACAAAACCCCAAAAACCCACTGTCATCAAGAAACTGTCATAGCAATCTTATGTAGAGTTTCTGAGGCTGTATATTATGATGGGAATAGAAAGCCTCCTTTACTTCCCACAGAGCTGCTGTTAGATTTGAACTGCTGACCTTGGGCAGCAGTAACCCACTCCACCACCAGGATTAAGTTTATTGTTGTTGTTGTTGTTGTTGTTAGGTACCATCTAGTCAGTTCTGACTCATAGTAATCCTATGCACAATTAGATAGAATGAAACACTGGCTAGTCTTGCTCCATCCTTACAAGGGTTGTTATGAGTCGGAACTGAGACCACGGCACATAATAACAACCACAACTCTACTGAGAAAGAAAAAGTAAAGACATATATAATTATAAATTAGGTAAGTAGCTATGAGTAAGACTTTCTGGGAGAGAGTATAATGGTGGTCTACTTTAAATTAGATGGTCAGGAAACCCCTCTCTGTGTGGTAATTCAAGCAGTGGCTAAAGAAACAGAGGAATCTTGAGAAAGATCAGAGTCAGTGGGAACAGTAAGGGCAAAGACCCTGAGGGTGAAAATACCTTGGTGCATTTAAGGAAATTAGAAAAGCAAATATAGTTCAAGCAAAGTGATCTAGGGGGAAGTGGCCAACGGTGAGGGTTGTGAAGTGGTCAGAGGCCAGATTATACAAAATCTCGTATGTCAGTCATGCTAAATGTGGTCTGTACTATAATACCAATGAGAACCCATTTAGAGGATTTAAGGAAGGGTGTGGCATGCATGATTTAATTTAGCATTTTTGAAGTTCACTTTAGCTTCTATGCAGAAAATGGACTGAGGTGGGAGAGGGGTAAATAGGGAGAATGAGTAGCAGTTTTAAATAGCTAGAAGCAATTACCAGCCATTGGAAAAAGTAGTAGCAATGCAAAAGAAAAACAGTTTGAAACATCTTGTAAAGGTTGACTTGAGAGTCTAGGTGCTGTGGATTAATGCACTGGACGACAAGGTTGGATTGAATGGAAGGTTAGTGGTTCAAGGTCACCAGCCACTCCTTGGAAACCCTATACAGGGTCGCTATGAGTCGAAACCGACTCGAAGACACTTAACAACAATGATGCATTGGAGTCCTGGTGTGGTGCTGCAGGATAATGCACTGAACAGCAAAGTCTGTTTGAACCACAAGGTCAGTGGTTCAAACCCACCAGCTATTTCTTGAAAACGCTGAGCCAGAACTGACTTGGCTGACACTTAACAGCAACAACAGTAATAAACACAGAAACACCCTTGATGACGTCTTTTTCTTTTTTCATATAGCCACAATGCATAACTGGAATTGCAGACTCTAGCAAATATTGCTGTTTCTTGGTTTGCTCAAGAAATGTACCTGAGGCACTTCTAGATTGCTTTAGGATCAGAATCGTAGCCCAGTTTAGATGTGTTTTGCTGTGGGTCGCCATCACAGGTTCAGTAATGGTGTCTTTGACCTAAAACTGAGTCTGCACAGCTGAGAATAGGTGTGTCTAGCGACCACCACAGGTGTGCATGGAAAGGGGGAGCATTAAGAATCTGACTGGAGAAATCTGTTAAAGTGAGTCAAGTCCAGCGCAAGGAAACCTAGCGCAGCTATTGGTATCAGCAAGTCTGAACCACTTAGCCCAGGCCATTTAGCCCAGGCCAATGCTTCTCTGGTGTGGCGGGCGCTGTGGGTTAATGCATCAGACTGCAAAGCTGTTTGAACTGCAAGGTCGGCCGTTCAAGCTCACCAGCTGCTCCTCGGAAACCCTATACAGGGTCGCTATGGGTCGGGATCGACTCAATGGCACTTCTTGACAATGCTTCTCAGTCTCATCACTGCAGCCTGAGCTTAAGAGGAAGTGTGAGGAGGAAGGAAGTGGGCATAAAAGGTTGCAGGGAGCTTAGTCTAGAAGTGAGTAGCCATAACGTCTTTGTCACCAACAGATGTCTTTAGGGAGTTCGCTTATTATTTTATTATTTTTTCCTCAAATTCGTGGACCTCTGGTTAATTTCTCTAATAGCTGCTTACACCCGAAAAATCCGATCTAGCGCTTAAACTAAAAGCACCCCCCACTGGCCCCCTGCTGCAGTCCCCATTCCAGGGTTTGTAGTTGGGTTGTGGGCCACGCCCGACAAACCCCTGAGGTTCTGTGCGCGCGATGGGGCGGGGTTAGACCACGCAGCTTCGCATTCAGGCCTGATTCCCAGTTAAAAGCGAAGACCTGTTCCCTTCCTACCTCCACTCGGGCAAAGCCCGGGAGACAAGACCTGTCTCGCTCTCTGCTGGCTGGGAGGCCCCGGCCGGACAAGCGCCTAGAGAAGCCGAGGTCCCCCAGCGCCCTCTACAGCTGCACTTTGGGGGAGACGAAGCCCGGTTCTGTGGCTCCGCACCACGTCCAGAACCCCACCCAGTGACTGTGCCCCGGGACCGCGCGAGCACCCGCACCTCTGGACCGCAGAAACGGGGCGTGGGGCTTGAGGGCGCGCGGCTTCCCAAGCTAGTCCTTTTCGCTCCGCCCGCAAAGACCGGTTTCCCCTCCCTCGGTCTGTCCGTCCCACCCTTCTTTCCTCCCGCCCGCGGGCTGCGGACACGCTGCGCCTCTTCTCTTGGGGCGCTCTCCGTCTGCAGAGCGTCGCATCCCGAGCAACACTGAGGCAGTGACCGTTTGGTGTTGAATGTACCCCTCGGAGTGCGCATGGCTGAGAAAGTGAAGCGCGGTGTCGGCCCCAGAGCGTCCGCCATCCAGGAGGTGGTGATGCTGCTGCTGTGCTTGGGGATCCCGATGGGGAACTCTTACAACGTGGACACCGAGAGCGCTCTGCTCTACAGGGGACCTCCCGGCACCCTGTTCGGCTACTCGGTGGTGCTGCACAGCCATGGGACCAACAGATGGTGAGTGGAGTCCGACTTCGGCTCACTCAGCATCTTAGTGCTGCTTGTGAATCGCGCCCTTAGGGATTTCCTGCCTTGCTTCAAACTTTCTTCACGGAGGCTAGTTGGGGAAGCTACGCGCCCTTGGTAGCATCAGCGAGACCAAGCCCGGGAAACTAACTTATCTTGGGTGACTGAGCTCAGGGTGCGTTCTGGCTCAAAGTTGTAAATTAGGAGTATCCCGTTGGGTAGTGGACGGCAGAGGAGGAGGTGGGGGGCTGCACCTAGTTGAGACTGGGAGATCCCGCAGACAGCACAGCTCACGTCTGTGCACACGTGGTCGTTTCTTACTTTAGGCTTGTGGTGGGGGCGCCCACTGACAAGTGGCTCGCCAACGCCTCAGTGATCAATCCTGGAGCGATTTACAGATGCAAGATTGGAAACAACCCAAACCAGACGTGTGAACAGCTCCAATTGGGTGAGTCGGATCCAGGACTCGGACTGAATAACACCCCATTCCCTTTGGGAATAGAGCAAGTTCTGGAAAAACTCGTGCCGTCAGTTTTAGTTCCAAGCACATGGCTTTCACTCTTAACTCCACATTTTATGAAAGTGTTCTAACAGTATTTTTCTCTTTGTTACAATGATTTCCAAAATCATGTAAAAGAAAGTTTCTTAGGATATCATCTCTTTTCCTTTCCTCTCTTTCCTCTTGTGTGAAACACATTGTAGAGTCTTTCAGAAGGCTAAGAACAGGATCCAGCTAAGCCAAGACTTAGGAATTTTATTTTCATCCTTGACCTATTAACATCATTAAAGAATGGACTAAGGGGCAGATCAGAAATAGTCTTTGGATTTGATCCCATATCCTGTCATTTAACCCATGGGTTTTTAAAGCAGAAAATAAAATAGTTTTATTTTGAACATGAAATGTAAAATACGATCACAAGGAAAAATTGCCATCTCCAATGTTAGTATAATCAAAATGGAGCTTAATGTATAGTTACTGGCTTTTCCCCAAACTGTCATGTTAAATAGATCTCCCACTTAGAGTAATTTCTTTCATGTCTCCTCTTTGGTCCCTAATGGGGGAGGGGAAGGGAAATTTGTTTCACACACACAAACACAAGGGGGAAGAAAGGGGAACTAACATTAATTTAATACATACCTATTTTGTTCCAAACACAGCTATGTATGAGGGACTTTCAAAAGTTTGTGGAAAAATGGAATGAAAAGGTAATAACAATTTTCCATGAACTTTTAGAAGCCTGTTGGTATATGTATTGCTTAATTAATTTCCCTGGAAGTAACTCTAGGTCATGGTTGTCTTTATTCTTTTACATATGAGGTACTGTGTGGCTCAGAGGGTTACTACTCAGCAGTAGTAGTTAGTAGGTGGGACCTAAACCAAAGTAAGGTCAATTTGGGTCCAAAGTACAAACTATTTTCTTTCAAATATATGTCTTCATGCAAAGGACATTAAACCAATATGTTGTCTTCTGAGCTTAAAGGTTATTATTGATATTTTTCATATTTATGTTTCATAGAGAATTGAGGTTAGCTAGTTATTCCATTTTTAATCTTTTGTCTGCCCTTTGCTTTTTTTCAAACAGAGAAGCTGGTTCATTTCACTAGGATGAACTCAAATATAGTATGTACAAATTAGAACTTTTATTTTTAATTTAAAGGGCACCCATAAAAGTCTAGAGTTGTCTAATACATGTAGATTAAGCCCCACCCAGTCTCTCATTGGAGTCCTCGTGTGGCACTGTGGGCTACTGCATCAGACTGCAAAGTTCTTTGAACTGCAAGGTTTGTGGTTCAGTCTCACCAGCTGCTCCCTGGAAACCCTATACAGGGTCACTCGACAGCACTTAACAACAACAGTCTCATTAAACACCTCCCACTCCCCAAAAGGAATCCTGGTATAGTACTATAGGATAAGCACTGGACTGTTAGGTTCAAACCCATCAGTACCTCCTCTGAAACCCTATACAGGGTTGGAACTGATACGACAGAGCTTAACAACAAGAACAACAAACACCAAAAGTGAGGCTAGGAATATACAATGTATTTACAGACCTATGCATCATCTTTTAAAGTATAATTTAAAGCATTGTAGTATAAAGAATAGCATACAAGATCATCTTCCAGAGGATATTGACAAGGTTTCAGGAGGAGGGAAAATTTATTTCTTTTGTCCTTTAATTTTTTTCCTCATCCATGACATTATATAATCATTGGTGTCTAGAAGCTACTTAAATATAAATTATATATTTAATAAATATATAAATAAATATATTTCTAGATGCTTGCGTTAACCTGGAGATGACCATGTCAAAATATTATACAAATTCTAAGGTAATAATGACATTTATATAAAAACCTAAATTATTTCAGCAAGTAGAAAGACATTAGTTAACTACAGAAATATCTTCAGAGAAACGTGCACATGGTAGATGTGTATAAGGATGTATTAAGTGAAGATTAATCATATGGATGGATGAATAAAGGTAACCTGAAAGTTTGATTGTCATCAACCCAATTGGTACAATGAATACATTTTAATATGAAAATTAATTAAAATTTATAAGCCAATGTGATATTATTAACTTTCAAGTATTTGTTGTTGTTAAGTGTCATTGATCGGTCTGACTCATAGCAACCCTGTATAGGTTTCCAAGGAACTGCTAGTAGGTTTGAACTGCAATAAAAAAAAATACATAATCACTGAAAAAAAAGCAGACACCATTTTTAGTCAATAAACTGGTCACAAATGGACAGTGACTTTTTTGGATAGTTGCAGAAGAGTTGAATGACATTATTTCTCATGCAACATTTTAAGCAATATAACTTTTCTCCCTTATACAGTGGGGCTTCAGAAAATTCATGGAGAAAAATACAATGAAAAGACAATGGAATTTTTCCACAAACTTTTTGAAGCCCTTGTGTGCCTGTATTCAGAAGAAATTTTTAAGTCGTAACTTAGAACTGTAAAATATGTGATAGAGACTGAAATCTAGATGGGGAACACTGAAAACAGTAAAACCTGTAACCAGAGACATTTAAGGATTTTACTCAGGTTTTTTAACTAGGTATTATTCTTCATATTGGACATATTGTCAGGAGGGAACAATCGCTGGAGAAGGATGTCATGCTGGGTAAGATGGAGGGTCAGAGAAAAAGAGGAAGACCCCAGCAAGATGGATCAGCCAGGTGGTATCATTGAGGGCATCAAGTGTGGCGGTGGTAGTGAGGTTGGCCTAGGATCAGACATTGTTCGTTCTGCTGTGCATGGGGTCACTATGAGTTGGTTCCGATTCGATGGCACCTGACAACAACAACATTATTCTTCATGAAGAAGTTCGAACAAGAAACACACACACACATACGCAATCTTCTGTGTAAGATGGTTTTAGCACTTCTGTCTCAGCTGTGGGTGATTGCAATGTAAGAAAAATGCTTAGCCCAGTAACTGACACATAATATTTTGAAAATATTACTGTATTTCTTCTTTTCTCTATATTCTGTATATGTCTGTACAGATGTATCTTGTTTTATTGTATTTCACTTTGTTGTAGTTTGCAGATGATGTTTGTTTGTTTACATATTGAAGGTTCTGGACAACCCTGTGTTAAGCATGTCTATTTGATACTATTTTTCCTACATGTGTTCACTTCGTGTTTCTGTGTCACATTTTGACAATTCTCACAGTATTTTAAACTTTTTTAATAGTGCTCTTGCACACTTAATAGACTACAGAATAGAATAAACGTAACTTTGATATACTCTGGGAAACTAAAAAATTCACACGACTGTCTTTATTGCAATATTTGCTTTATTGTTGTAGTCTGGGACCACACCCAAATTATCTCTGTAGTGAGTCTGTATCTGTATGTTATCTGTAATTTGCAGCTTGAGATTGATAAGTAGAGAGAGACATTAATTAATAGGAGTTCTGGTGTGGTGCTGTTGTATAAACACTGAACTGCTAACCAAAAAATTGGCGGTTCAAACTCAACAGCTGCTCCTCAGAAACCCTAAATAAGTCAGAACTGACTTGGCGGCACTTTTAGCAACAGAAATAAACTAAGCCAAATTTAACCAAAGGTTAAATTTATAAATTGAAAGGTAAAAACTGAAGTGAAACATAATTTTTTTATTAGCCCAGCAGAAAATGTTACAACTAAAGAGTGAGCCATGACTGCCATGCCAGTAAGGGGTGCCCTTCATCTGGGGATAGTTTAGCTTGCTGTCAAGAAACTGAAGGCGCAGCCTTCTCAAAAAGTTTCCCCCATCTGCCATGGAATTCAAAATACTCTTCACTTGGCCTAGCCTTTAATGTCAGTGTAGAATTTCGAATGATTCAGACATACTACTCTCCTCTAAAGAGGAGGTGGTTGCTGTCCTTTCCTCTGTGGAATACAGTTGTTGCATATCATGCTATATTTATAATATACCACGCCCACAATCAGAAGTGAACAGTAAAAGTCAATTTATCTACAGTACTCAAGACATGGGCGCTGGGAGTAAGATAAGCTTTTTAGTAAAATGGATTGGCTGCCAAAGTGACAATGAGAGGTGCTTGCATAGCACCAAAAGGTACTTTTCTTTCTGGATGCTTGAGAGGTGTCCCTTCTTTCACTTCCTTGCCCATCTTTACATTTGGTTGTTATTTCCCTCTTTGATCCAAAGGAAGGCAGTCTTCCCAACAGGAGGGTCTGAACCTGAGGACTTCATATCTGAGGAGGCCATGGTGATCTCCATATAATCCATTTGCTTATCCCCTCCGGTTTTCTGCATTCGAATTGAGACTTGTTCAAATAAAACTTCCTTCACAAATACTTCCTAAATGGCATCAGAAATAGTGCTTCTGTTAAGATAGCTATTCCTAGTCTATCCATAGTTTACCAGTATTTAAGGAATCAGAACAGAAAATATTGTATGAATGATGGTAATATGCAAAATAGATTGTCTTTATATGATGATTCAAAAGACACTCCAGATTTTTCTGTTAATAACATCATACACAAACACATGCACACACACATACATTTATTCATATCTGGTTAATAGAGTCTAGAGATAAACTGTCTAATACAGTAGCTCTAGCTGGGAGCCACTGGTAGCTCTTAAGCATTGAAATGTGATTAATTTGCAATGAGTTGCAATGCAAATACATAGTTGATTTCAAAGACTTTGTATTAAAAAAGTGGTTAATTTGCAATGAGTTGCAATGTAAATAAAGACTTCATTTTAAAAACTGTAAAAAATTTTAAATATCACATTAATTTTGAAACCATTTATTATGTGTTGAAATTATAATAATTTGGCTCAAATAAACTTATTAAAATTAATTTCACTTATTTATTTTTAGTTTTTTAATATGACCACTAGAAAAATTAAAACATTTGTATGTGGCTTAAATTAAATTTCTTTTGGACAACCCAACCCTAGAGTAACAAGTCCCCTGAATAA